GTTCACCTACAGTCAGATGTCTACCAAAAGCAGCATGGCTGCCCAGGCAAAGTGTAGATGGAACCAGCCTGAAGGTCAGCCATAGGTATGTGTGTCCCCTCACCTTGGAAGATATTTGACCTCAGCGTATAACCCAGCTGGTTGTAATCAGCAAAAGGTGCAGAGTTCAGGGGGTTTTTTAGCATTCGAGTACGGTCGCGGAGTCTTTTCTGTCCCAGGATTGATGCTGCCTTGCACAGAGCTTGCCATTCCTGAAAACACAAACAAGGAACCACTGTCAGTCCACGTTCCCCAAGTGTAGCAAATGACTGACAGTTCCAGCCCTGCATAGATCTGTGAGCTATGACTAATCCCTGGGGCCTGGGACTGTCCTTGAGTCTCCCTCAGTGCCTTCTTGTAGGCATTGTAATTGCATAGGACAACTGGGGCTGGTAAAAAGGGAGGAATTATAAAGGGATGATGGTGTTGGGCCCTGAACTGGGTCCTGCTACCACATTGTTTTGCCTTGCTGAGTTGGACTCTGCCTGGCTACAGGACCCTTATAAATGAAAGGAGGATGGAAAAACAAAATTACAAAAGAGATGGAGAAGGGCTGTCTGTAGAATGTGTCACTGCCTCTTACTGTGAAGCCCAAATCCATCCATCTACATGTCTTCTAGAAACTGCTAATATCCCACCCACTCAGTCCACTGCTAGACCATAAAAACAGCCTTCAACCTGCCACAAAGGAGACATGAAATGGCTTCCTCCAATACCTCTTCATCGCTGGTAAGTTCCCCTGCACTGGCAGATTTATATTTGCCATTAGCATGGATCAAGCTGTTTCTGTTCTCCTGAAGGAGCTTCCATTCTGCTTTCATACCTGGCCCTAACGATGCTAAGGACTCTTTGGCACTTGATCTGCTGCAGATCTCCTTGGCTTTTTCATTGCTGGCTTTGATGTTCTTCCGGAAAGATCCAGGCCCTCTAGACCCCAGTGTTTGGTGCTGGCCTGCTACTGGTTCTTTGGCATTTGAGATGGATTTGGTGCTCTCTGCCTTCCTCTGCCTGGATATTGCAGACAGGCAGTAAGTGCTGTTCATCTCTCTTGGCTTCTGCCCCACTGTCGGGTCTTCGGTAGCAGAAGTATCTTCTCTTTCCTCTTCAAGTCTTCCTGAATGAAGAACCTGCATAGAGGGAATTTTGGCCTGGAGACTGTCTTTGGTCTGTCTTCTAGGCTGAACGTACTTTGCAGAAGGAGATGCCTGGGATTTAATAGATGCGGAGTTCTTTGCAGTTCCCTGAGCCACTGGGCCCTTGGAGATCTTCCAGCAGGCTCTGTTGGAGCTCTTTCCAGATGTTCTCTGTCTGCCGGGACACAAGCCTTCTGGAAGACGCTCCTTTTTCTCTTCCTCAGATTCCACTTAAAGACAGAGATAATAGCTCAATAAATTTGATACAGTTTTGATAACAGGTGGTAACGTAAATGGAGCTGGAAACAACGGGACGTCATTGCATCATTGTCAGACAACAAAAGAAACAGTAAAGGTCTCAAAGAGGGAAAGAAAAGAGAAAATAGAAGGTTCCTGGGGAGTCTTAAACGCTTTTAAGAGATGAACAGGCACAGAAGTGTGGAAGTAAAAATCTTCTGGTCAAATACGGACACCGAGGTTTCTGTTTTCTCACGTGTAGGGGCCCCTCCAACCCATAATCACTCTCACGCTCGTGAACATCTGCTTACAGTCTCTGTGGCTCATTGGTATTTGCTGATGAGTTTATAGCACAGCAGTGGGTTATTGTGCTTGTGGAGGGAGGTAGTGAGACAAGTGCACCAGTGGAGGAAGACATGCTCGGGGCAGGGGTATTTTATCCCATCAGCCCATGGCACATGGTATCCCTGTCCAAGTAGCTTTCACTCACAGAGGTACCTGCAAATCTGGGTGGCATGAAGGGAAGGAGCGAATGACACATAGCCTCACAAGCTGTATGTGCTTACCTGAAGTACTGGTGGCCAGCACAGAGTCGCTTTTTGTCACATCATGTATAGGAGACGCTGGAACCTCTACCACATACTTGGAAGAGAAACAAAGGCTGTGTCAGGCTCAGAGATGGGAAGGAATCTATGTCTTTAGATGACATAGATTATTCTCACACAAACGTATTATACGCCTTCCCAGGTCAAGATAGAGCTGTCCCTGCCTGCCTGCGTGGTTGGTCCTACAATCCACGATCCTCTCAGATTAAAAAAGCACCAAATCCTGCAGGATTTCACATTAACAGCTCACATGGGACAGCCTTCCCAGGACACGGCCAACCAGTGCCTCTGAGGTATACTGAGCTGCAAGAGTTTTCAAGGGCAGTGGTGCAGACACAAGCCAAAATGGAAAAAAATCTCAGTGAAGATGTCTTTATTCTGAAGCACCCAAAGATGTCAGACGTGTCATGTGCTGTACAATTACAGCATTTCCTTCTTTTGGTGCATTCAAGTAAGGCCAGAAAAATGGGGAGAGGAGGTGATAACCATAAAATGCCTGAGCAGTGCTGGCTATGCAAAAGAAGGGAGATGGGCTGGAGACAGGGCTTCCTCCAAGATTCTGGCACAGCCTATATCCCCTGTTTCGCTTTGCTAGTCCTGCTGATGTCATCGATCCAACACCCAGCCTTTGCAAACTGCCTCCTGCACTAGGAGGAAGCTGATGTCTTTGCTGCAGAGGGAATGTCTGTATAACCCTCAGTCGTGTCTTGCTGATGGTCTGCGTTCCTCATCCCAGCAGGACCCTAAGTGCTCAGCCCATGTGAAACCTGTGACAGGTTACAACTGAAGCCATGGCCCACGCTGGTGAATATGGTAACTGTGAGCCTGCTGGCACTAGCAGCAGTACAAATGGGATGTTTGCGTTTGTCAAATTAGCTCATGACATGACATGTACGCTTACCTTCTGCTCTTGAGGCTAGTTATTGGGATGAAGACACAATTGCTGATGGGGCAGGGAGTCTACCGCTTCAGAGTAAACTCACCAGGGCTGACCTGAACCAGCAGCTTGTGTCTTACACTGTGCCAGGACTTTGCAGCAGCGGCTCTGGTGTAATATAGGGATCCTGAAGCTGAAGTTACTGTATCAGCCAGACTCCAGGAGTCAGTGCTGTGTGCTCTGCAACTGTATTAAGAGACAGAACCTCTCCCACAAAAAGAGCAGAGCCACAAGAGCTGAAGAGAGGAAGCCAGTCCTGGCTCACCAGGCAGGATCTGCTTCTTTTCTGTATTGCTATTCATTCTTTCTAAAGAAGAGCCAAATATTTACACACGATCAAAGTGCAGGAATCTGTGTTGCTAAATAAGCTCCTATGTTAACTCCCACCTCCTACTTAAAACAAAAACATGCCTGTTTGTTATTATTACTATATGCAGTGGAAAGAACTTTCCAGCCTGCTGTTGTAGAAATTCCTCCTCTCCTATTTCTTCCAACGAAGCAGAATTTCTGAGTCATGAGGCAATGTGCTGTTTTCCCATGTCCTGTTCACTGATAACTTTCACTTCCCCAGTTCCTCCTGGACAAAATGACGCTGAAGCCTGCAACCGTTCCTACTTTCTAGTTTGTATATGTTGTTATTGCTTATTCTTCATTTTAATTCTGAGCCTGAAGGTCAGAAGTCCAAGCACCACCCTGAGACTCCTACATCTTGATGCCAAGACGGACTTCAAGGCCATTTGACCATCCGCCTGGATAACAGAAGCCACAGAACTATGTCTACCTATTCCTTTGCTAAGCCAATTCTGTGAGGGACAACAGAAGATGTACTAGAAAAGACATACCTTGATCAAAAAGCTAAAAATTATTAAACTTGATCTTTCTTTCTGAATGAAAAAAAACCTCAGAAATGGATGTTCAGCGTTGCCTAACACTCTGACTTTCCTGACATGCAGCTATGGAGGGAGCTGTCTCTCACAGGCAGAAAAATAACCTCCTCTTACAGGCATAGGAATTGGTATGCCATTCTCCCCAGCCACCAGATGTGGTCAAGAATGGTTTCATACGCCTTCCACATCTGGCTGGGCCTCCAAAATATGATGAGATTTGAGTGACTTTCTAGACCTGAGAAGCCCCATAGGTGTCAAAATGACATTGGATCTTTTATTGGTTTTGGTTTTGTTTTTTTTAAAAGGAAAAGAACCAGGATTTAACAAGAGGCAAAGCCTCTTCTGTAACTACCTCTCTCACCTGGTCCAAGATCCCCGATGTGGTGCCACAGTAAT